GAGAGAGAGAGAGAGAGAGAGAGAGAGAGAGAGAGAGAGAGACAGACAGACAGAGAGACAGAGAGACAGAGAGACAGAGAGACACGTGACATTGCCATGTACTTGCAAGCGCGCGGCCTGTCTGGAGAGAGGGAGAGAGACAGAGACGGAGAGAGAGAGAGAGAGAGAGACAGAGAGGCCCTGAAAACAAATCTACAGGAGAAGAGTTGTGAACACCTCAGAAAGAGGAGGATAGATAAGTCTTGTCAGGAAAGCCACAAGCGACACTCCTATTATTATATTATTACAAATATGGCAAAACCTCAGACATGTAATGAACCACCTCCAGGAACAAGTGGTGGCAATAGAGATGAGCGGTGAAGAGAGTTTTGTCACGGTAGGCAGGGCAAGACAGCAAAGGTGGTCTTGCGGCAGCTCACCGTGTTCTTCGTGGCTTCAGAGGATAAAGCACTTGATCGGACGAATGACCCAATCAATTCCCTCAGTCAATTAGTTGAATTAAATTCCGTGATTGGCTCATTTGAGTTAATTTAATAGTTTCCTCATTGGATTAATTCACAGGGAATGGGAAAGAAAGCTGATCTGACGAATGGGCAAAGCATGGGATAACAGAACGTCACGGATGGGAATTGGATAAGATCCAACGGGCATAGATCAGTTGGTACACTCGTGAATTGTTGAAATACAGGGGCTCTCTCTTAAACCACCAGTACTTCCTAAAGTCGTGCCCGTTAACGCGCCACGATTTTAGCAATTAAGGCCACTACAGGAGCGCCCAAATTCATCCAACTAGAAATGTTTCTACTCTATTTTTTTTCCGCGGCCGATAGCTGGGCCAAGTACCGGTGGTTTAAAAAAAAAAAAAAAGAAAAACACAGACCCAAGTTCGAATCCAGATGCAACCAGATGAGAAAAATAAAATTAAATTAAAACGATTGTCATAAACACGACGTTGACGCCGAGGAGCTGCTACAAAATCCAACACCATTGTCAATGAGTCGTCACCGACTCGTCGGAGATGCAGACAGCAGTGCCATGAGCTGCTATTGTGTAGCCAAGGCGCAAAATAAGATCCAGCAATCTTGTTGGTGCATCAACACATGGGAAGGGGGAAGTGCCATGACGTGAATACACAACATGCACGTGATTTGCTGTTGCGAATTATACTCTGAAAAGTCAAAGGAATCTGTTCCACAAAGCGAGTTTGCTATGCGAGCACGTCTTCAGTTTCTTCAGTCAAACAAGAAAAAAAAAAGTGTGCTGCTGGCAGTTCAGCAAAGCTTGGCATGCAGTGCAAGTCCGCAAGGCTTACGTGTGCTGGGGGTCTAACACGCCGCATTAACAGGGCCTCAGTGTACACAGACTCACTTTCTTTCCACTTCGCATACATGCAAACAGATGGCGATTCACACTGGCGCACAGCGCCCACTCAAAACTCAGAGATATGGAAATCGAAAACACAGTTTGGGTGCAAACTCTCTTCAATAAGAGATGGCGCATCAGCGCCTGAATATCCCAACCTTCAACACTGTTCCCAACACCACTGTTCGCACACGCTCACTCTGGATCACCCTGAATACTCCCACACGCACACACCCTAAGCCTATCTTGCTCCTGTCGCGGCTATGGCCGCTCTACCTCTGCTGGCTATGGCTACAATCTCCCTTCAGCCCACTTCGACTTCGGGCGACCTGCAGACCACCTCGCACAAGACACTGTAGCAGCGAATGAATGAATGGCTGGGGCGCTGCCTCTTGATTTATACTTCTGTAACTCGTTGGTCTGCTCCCTTTCCACCGGCCCTGGTGCACACAGTCCCTCATGGTACTTGCTTGACTGGACTGCGACTGACTGGGACCGGTACCGCTGACTGCACGGGGTTGCACTGCCGACTCGATGCGGTCGCACTGCTGACTCAGTGCACTTGGCTTACCACTTGCCCACTTGCTCTGGCTAAACGTGAGACACTTTCGGAAGGCCACTTCCTGACCTTCCGGAGGTCTGTGGATTTGGCCTTTCGGGTACTGTAGCAGCTACGACCTTCACCTTTCAGGACTGTAGCAGCTATGACCTCTACAGAGCTGTGACCCCTACTCGGCAGACCTACAGATCAAACCCCTACAACTACACAGACCTACGACAGACAACAAACAACTACCAAAACACAGGTCTCGGGTTCAAAACTTCGAGTGTCGACTCGATACTGTACGTGGGTAAGGTGAGATCTGGGGATCGAACTCTAGGGCCCGCATCTGTGACTGCAAAAAGGTGAAAACCGTTTCAACCACAAGGAAAAGGCTGGCACTGCCCGGCGAAACTATATATTCGGCGTGTGGACCGGTTCACATCTTTTTTGGCGTGCAGTAGAAATCTGGGTCTCAAAAAATATGGTCAGAGTGACCGGTGGTTTGAAACGAAGACCATGTATGCGGCATGAAAGAGTACATTTATATTACTGAATTATAATACGACAACATAAAGAAATAGGCACAATAAGTGCAACACAGCGCACTCCGAAATGATTGAAAAATCTCTCTGTTACGAACATGCAGCTACAGGTTGCGAGCGATTTGGAGAAGGAAACCGTTGGACAAGTAAGTAACACCAGAGAGAATTAGAAAGAGCAACAGCTGCTGCCGCAATGCCGACGGGAGCACCATACCCATATTCGTCGAAGTATCCCCCGCGCCCCTCTGTTCCGAAATTCTCCTTGAATGTTATCTGTCAGCACAGATCCCAAAGAAGAGGCACATTTTATTAGGCATTCTTATCCAGCGTTTCTTTCTTTTCTTTTTTTTTCTTTTCTTTTTTTTTTTTCTTTTTTCTTTTTTTTTTTTAATACAAAACTGGACCTTATGGCCCAGGTTCCGTTTCCATTCTGGAGAGCATCAGTCCGGTTCCTACTCCACCGTCAAGTCAAAAGGATAATACATCATAATTACACGCTTCCTTCCGTACGGCTGAAGGACCCCTGACCAGCATTGATTGCTCCATCCATATGGAGGATTGGCTGTCAGCTTGCCGTACTATATCCTTTTCTCTAACCTGTCGTATAGGGCCCGAATACCAAGAAAGGATCTAGCCACTTCCACAACCCCCACCCCTCAACACGCCCTGAACCCCCCTATTTCTGACTAGGTAGATGCAACATTTTCCTTTTTCCTAAAACCCCTTAATGTCTACCAATCAGCCTCCACCCTGTCTCCGTTGATTCAGTCCGTCCCTAACCTCAGCCATCTTGACCAGTTACCATCTGCCTAAGACTACTGTCTTGAGCCGTTCCGACTGGCCAAACCCTTCAACCATAAGCCTCTGAGCCGTTACCCGAAGACTAAGATCCTTAAACCCTAAACCCTCCCCTATTCCTCCTAACGGCACCCCCTTCCCTATTGTACCTCCACTGGTAGAACCCCGATGACTGAGATCCCAGGGTACTTTCTAAGTTCTCCCCTCTGACTGTACAGCGTGTAAGGCCGTTTGACTTATCGATGATGATGGAAGCCATCTGTTCCGCCCTATCTCAGCATCTTAAACCCTTCCGATTGTGTGTCCGGTGTGGAACAGTCTTTGTCGTGCCAGGAACTGATCGAAGTCCCCTCCTCCCAGTCTCACCCTCTAGTTCCTTCTGCTTCCTCAGTGACTCACTCACCTGGCGTCCGATACCTGATGTGCCCCTTCATCACTTCATGTCTTGTCCAGCGTTTCTTTGCACTGAGGTTGCGCATTTTCATGGTTATCCTTTTGTCGCGTATAGTTTGTGTTCGAACCCTTCATGGGCACTGGGGCGCTACCGTAAAGAACAAGTCCGCAAGGAGATATGCTGCTAGCGGTTTTTGTTTAGCACCCTTAGGACCTGGAGATTCTGGGACCCCACTGTTAACAAAAACTGAAGGGGGAGGTATGTTGGTTATGGGTCTGTGTTGCGGGCCTGCTGGGGCTCTGGAACTATGCCATCATTAACAACTAAAACAGTTGAAGAACCGTGTAACGGCGCTAACAACTTTTTTTTTTTTTTTTTTTTTTTTTTTTGCGGATCGTGTTTAGGCAAGTTAGGCACGAGGGACCGTTTAAACCCCCAGTACCTTTCCCATATATCGGCCGCAGGGCTGAAGTTTTGCCATGTGTGTTGCAAAAAAAAAGAAACGACACGGATGCACCTGGCCGCCGCTGCCACCCATTTGGTCACGCGCCTGCATCTCCGTCCGTGTTAACTGCCGCGCTATTTATTTTCAAGCAGGCAAAGGTACTGGTGCACATAGTCTGACTGCTTTACCTGTTATCGAAACACAAGCTGGAGATGTGTCTGCTTATATTATTCCTACCAATGTAATCTCCATTGCGAACGGACAAATCTATTTTTGGAAACACCACTGCTTTATAGTGCAATCCGACCTGCTATTAATGTACCAGGATTGTCTGTTAGTCGTGTAAGGTTCTGCAGCTCAATTGAAAGCTATGAAATAAGTGTGTGCGGTAGTCTGAAACTAAACACCTATGTAATGAGTTATGTTGTTAACAGTTTTGTGTTTTGGCCCTTTCGGGTCTAGAACCGTTAAACCACTAACTAGTGTGATGACCCGACCAAACACGGACTGAGACACACAGTTGATTTCTGAGTTTTGATCACGGACTGAATGCCTTGCTGAGTTTCCCGCTTGCTACTAAGTTCTGCATGTCTGTGTGTGGGTGCACGCTTGCTGGTCTGCATGTCTGCCTGAGTGCTGGTTGGCTTGAGTGTGTGTGTAACCCGCAAGGGCACTTGTTCGTTCGTTGGGCCCTCAGGGCCGGTACTTACCTGTGGCCGTGACATCGAGGATTGCAGCGGGGGGGAAACATCAAGTAGCAGGTAGGCCGGTACCGCACCCTGAAGAGGTAGATGTGCGGGTACTGGAGGCCAAGCAGAAGAAGACAAAAGTGGCATTTTGGAGAGGCCCAGTAGTTGTAGGCTAGGTCTAGGCACGGAACCAGTCCAATCAGTCTGAGTCTAGGGCCTGTACGGGCAATATCAGAGTCTGGAATGATGATTCCCTCCGAAAGGGAGGAGGTACCGGTTGCTGGGAAGGCCGAGTGGCCTGGAAGTCACCCCGCCCAAGAGGCAAGCAGGCCGCTATATCTCCAGGCCGGGTGAAGAGCCCAGTCTCATTGTCGGTGTGCAAGTTTGGCGACACACTGGTTGGAGCGCTGGCTGGAGCAGCGCTAGCAAGAGCAGCCCTGCTGGGGAAGGAGCAAGGACACGGAGGAGGAATAAGGACAGGAGGAAGGGGGAGCGCCAGAGGTACTTACCTGGCTATGGTGGCAGCCATCTTCATGACCTTGGTGGGCGCTGCAGCAGGAAGACCCCAGCTGGGGTAGATCTACACCAAGAAGCTTCGAGGCAGAGTCAGGTATGGCGGCCTGAGCTAGAGCAGCCATGGCTGCTTTGGGTTGTCCTTTGGGCATCAGGGCAAGGCCCAGTAGTCCACCATAGCCTCGGCCTATGAGAGTGAAGAGTGAGGGAGGSGGCCATGGCTATGGTGGACCTCAAGTGATACCTGCAGTAGAAGAGGAACTCGGACATTGATTCTGGATGAGCCATTCAACATTTTACTATTATTTCTTGTATGAATAAGAGGAGTAAAGGAGGAGGAGAGTGTTGGGCGAAGAAGAAGAGCTTTGTCATTTGTCTATGCTGGTGTACATCATCTTCTTCTTCTTTCTTTCCTCTTCTTCTTCTTCTTACCCTCTCTCTCCTCTCAAGTTCATTCATTTCTTTCTGCAATTGGACGGCATTATACTATCTGATGAATGTGTATCTCGAAATTGGCCAGGATCATAACACTAGTACCTTTGCCGCTACAGAAATGAGGGAAAACGCCCGTTCCCGAAGAATTTGGAGGCCAGGCCCAACGATGGCTGCCATTGATAAATCTAATCGGCGGCCGTCGTTTCGTTTCGGCCTCCTGAAAGGTCGGAGGCCCACTCACTATTTTCGAACCGACAAAGGTACTAGTGGTTTAAGAACGTAAAAATAACCAAGTAACTTGAAGTAAGGAGATACATTGTTACTCGTTTGCCTTTAGGAGGAGGGAGTCCCTCTAGCCTCCAGGACTCTACTGTTAACGATCTTTGTGTTAAGTTGCCAGTACCCCGCCCTGGCAAAGTTGAGAATCAAAATCGGCTCAATTGGACGACGTCAGATGAAGCCAAAAACAAAAAAAGTGCACTGCTGGCGGTCCGTTCTTTTCTTTGGCGCGCCGTGCAAATCCGCCACGGCAAAAAGACGCTTGGAGGTACTGGTGGTTTAAGGAGACACGCCAACCTGCAAAACTTGACAAGGGCAAAGAAGAAAACAATACAAGTTGCTATGACGGGCGCAAACCAGATATGTACATGTACCCGATGTCGAGTTTCTCATTCAGGATTTGCTGCGTAGCATGCAGACTTTAGAGTCTGAGTGCAAAGGATAAGAGGGGAAGAAGACATGCACATGCAAAGAGACTGAGAGCAAGGGGGGACTATGGCCAGGAGGACTCGGCTCTTTCAATCTGAAGGGGGCTGCATTCCGCAGCGGCAAACGGAATCATCATCATGTGTTCTATGGAGACCATATGGGGGTCCCTACGGCACAAGGCCGTTACCCCCTCAACAGTGGCAACCCCAGCTGTTTTCTACCTATCCTTCCCATGGCTCCCCAACCCCCCCCCCTGTCTACCCCCCTACACACACAGACCCCAGCTCCCTCCTGCCCCTGGCCCAGCCTTCCCCACCTACCTACCCTTCTACTGCTCCCCCACCGCCCCTATCTCGCCCTCGGCCCACCCTTCCCCACCTACCTATACCCTTCCAATGTGCCCTTTGCAATGCTCACCATGGTCTCATGCCAGGACGCCACCACGGAGGAAGTGCAGTTGCTTCTCTCCCCTTTTTGCCCTGAAATACGAGGCCCCCTCCCCATCCTCCACATGGGACCATTCTCTACCCTAATCCCAAGGGTAGAAGGTTGCCGAAATTCTCACCCCCACTCCCACCACCCTTTGCTCCCTCGCCTCCCATAGGGCCACACGCCCACAAACGGCGCCATCCCGGAAAAGTCCTCAATGGTTACTCAGGTTACCCTTTTGCTCGGAATTGCATTCAGCTGTGATCTTCAACCCCAGGCAAACCCCCTCTTCACTGCACAGCGCCCGTCTTCAGGGAGCGGAGAAGGTGCTGGGGGTTGGGGAGGCAGGGATGTGTCCACTATCGGGCTCTCATCTCCATGACTTAGTTTAAAAGAAAAGGACTACACCCTGCTCGTCGTCCCCCCTCACGCTGTCCTCCCTCCCCACCGCACCCCACCCCACCCCACCCCACCCCACCCCACCAACTGCCCAACCACCACAAAGAAGAAGCAAAACGAAGGACCACCCCCCCCTGGAAGGGCACCCAAGGCTGCACACGATCAACAATTTGTTTGCCGTCTTTGTGCAGGGGCCGTGCTAATCCTCTCCGGACGGCTTTTCACGATCAATAGAAAAGTCTTCAACAGAAAAAAACCACCGAGATCCGGAGCTTCCATGATACCAACAATTTTGATGCTGCAGGGTTACAATAGGGCTACTTTGCTGCCTGACCTCTGCGCTCCTCCCTATTTCTGTACTTTGTAGGTGAGCCCTGTATCTGACTATCATCACAATTATATGTCTGATCAAGCAAACAGCTACAATGTTCAGGGACGCTGGACCCGCTTTCCAGCAGGTGCTGCTCTCCACCAATAAATGGAGCCAACCCGGAAATGCTAGTGGTGCCTGCTCTTACCAGCATCCCTAGCATCCACTCGGTTGTTCTTTGAAAAAACAAAAAAACAAAAACACTGCGCTCCTGTCCTTCCAAGGCTTCCAAGGATTCAAATGGTCCAAAAGGTTTCAAGGGTTTCAGTGATCCAAGGGCTTCAAGAGTTCCAGCGATCAAGGGGAGGTCCCAACAGACCCAGAGATCAAGGGGCGGTCCCAACAGACCCAAGGGTTCCAAGAGTTCCAGAGATCAAGGGAAGGTCCCAACAGATCCAGCAGAGTGAACAAGAGGGCATGCCACGGGTAGTGAGTAATATAGTATACAGGACCATAGGAGAGTCAGCTGAAATGGGCTCCACGGATATCACAGACGGGACATAAGTTTTGAACCTTGAGCAAAGGCTAAGAAGCTCCTGGCCATAACGATGAGCAGTAGCATCTGGAGAGGGGAGATCATTGGTTTCCTTCTCATGAATTGCCTCGACACTATCCAGTCTCAACACAAATGAAATTGAATATTTTTAATCTTTCTTACTCCTCTGTTCGTACCTGTACACTAGCAATATGGCTTCGGTTCCACAGTGGGAAGAAAACCCGATTCGCAAACCGCATAACCAGCTGTCGAAAAAAGTATGTCACCCACAAACATTCGCAATTCGAGTTCACAGAAATGCACGTGCATAACACACACACACACACACACACACACACACACACACACACACACACACACACACACACACACACACACAGAGAAAAGAGAAAGTGAGTGGTTCCTTTCATGCGCAGTTCGAAATCCTTTCTATGAGGTTTGATATCACCTTACGTCACACCACATAATAATATACTGTTTTACAACTTTTACGTTTGCTAAATTGCTATTGTATTTATACAGATACCGATAGACTGATCGGCAAAACACTCTTCGTACGACGACAAAACAGCAAGATGCACTAGTTAATGCGCATTCATCACGCACACACAGATAGAAACATTGCGAGATGACCAAAATCGGAAACCATACTCGATATGCACAACGTCCGCCATAACCTGCGAACAAAACTTGCCATAGACGAGTTACCTAACCACCGAACCAACCCCAACCAGCGGCCCTTCCTCTACGCATTTCTGCTATCCCGCACGTAGCGAAGATTCGATCCTGATTCTCATTAAACCAATAAAGGCTACCAGGGCTGCACGGCCGTGCATGCCCTGCGATGCAACTTGCCCAGCAGCCCGCCTGCCCGGGATACCCGGGGAACGTAAACACTCCAGGAATTTTTTTTTGGCGGCGGGTAGGGGGGGGCATCATCAGTGGGGATGTGTCCTGCATCCAATGAAAGCAGCCTAAATCCGGACTCTTTTTGTTTTTCAGTGTTGTCCGTTGAGGGGGGGTGGAAAGTGGTATAAATGAGGCTTAAAGGGGCTTATAGCGGTTCAGAGGGAGGATGCCTTAGTTCAATTTTATTATATTTTTTTAATCTTTGACTCAGTAAGGAATTCTGAGGTGACCCTCAGCCAAAAGTTGTTCGCAGTGCAATTCTACAAAACACAGTTTTTTCCCATATTAATATATATACATTATATATATTATATTTACTAGATGACCCGTTGCGGCTTCGCCCGCAAAGACAGAAAAGGAAAAAAAGCACAAAAGAAAGAAAAAGCATAAGGAACTCCCCTATCATATGCCGCCGAGCCTTTTTTTCCCTTTATCTTTGAGTGTTTTGTTTGGGGAGCCATTACCTTCGCGCCATCGTTTTTGTTTTGTGATGTGCAAGAACTCTGCACTTTTCTGAGAAAATCCTGTCCATTGTCCCGTTGATGTTTTTGCAGCTAAAGATTCAGA